AAGTTGTATAAGATGTTGCCCTCTTCTAGAAACCGACAGAATTTCAAACCTCGGGGTCACTCGGGGTCAATAACCTAAATGTGAACTAGGATTGTTTCAAGCAGTTTCGACCTTCTGGCCACAGAGACGCCCAACGATTCTGCTTTAAAACCCCACTAAGTAAATAGTGACTATCGCAAGAGCAGTAATACAATAGATGTCGGTAAGTATGGTCCGATTAACGGTGTCATTGTACGGATCCTCGTACATGACATAATTCTTAATCGTACGGTCCCTCACATCATACTAGCAGTGATACTATGATAACATTAGTTACTAATATTAAACCTAACACGGCGACTAAGTAAAGTGGATGAGGTGCAAAAAAATCATCAAAGTCTATGTTTTGAATATTCTAAAGAATGTCATGTTCATGTGTTTATTTTGCACCGTTACTACGTTTTCAAATGAATGAAAACTTGCTTGTTTTGAATATTTTGGAGCGTCTCATTTTGGAGGTACCATTTCTGCTACAAAGATAGATCTTCTAAATGCTTTGGGATTAGCATCTCATTAAGAAAATGACTACTTGCCCTTTAACATAAGTTTGATCTGTTTGTTGTTATTTGACAGTACTTTCTACTCCATCGGACAAAATATCCACACATTCGGTATGATATCTCTATCTTGACGGGGTAAGACAGCCTGCGCGGCCAGAACATAAACACGAGCTAAATTGGAAGTTGTTAATTTTAGACGTAAGAGACGTGACTGATAGATGTTGACAGTTTAAGATAGGTTTAAATTTTTTGTAAGAGTGTATCTGATAGTTTTTGTTCATATAAATCATTTTTAAATGTGTTATTGAAAATGATTTATCATTACGATTATTTTTCGTACGATGTATAATGTACAAATCGATGAAAATAAAACAAAAGTCTTCATTTGTCTGATATTTGTTTCCATTTTAGTCAGCATATATCAGTCTCTTTATTCTCTTCCTAATATGTTGGAGCTAATACCCTAATTTGAGGAGAGGACAGAGAAATATCTCTATCTCGATAGTCTAACATTTAGTAAAGCCTCGAGGTAGACAGTCATGAATCTCCTCCTTGGGTAGAATTTTCTCTGCCCTACACTCAAGTTAGGGAGAGATCCTGTTAATCATACACAACGTCTGATTTCAGAAGTAATTAGATTTGAAGCCAAGATATTGTTTCGTTTGTGCAATTTCCATATCCATACCTTGATAGAGCCGTCATTTTCCTTAACAAGAAGGGTGTCAAAGAAAATATTCAGTGTTATTAATGTCCTCGTATGTTAATTTACGAAGATGGCGGTATCTACAGTGTTAAAAAGTGTTGACAAATGATTCTTTGGTCTTTCTAAAATGTCAACTTATCGTGTCCACAGGCTTGCCTAGCACCAAATTTTAATTAAAAAGAAGACCAAAAAATGCCCACCATTAAAAGGACTGTGCTGTCCATGGCTGTACCGGGGTGTTTTCTGACATGGTTTCTTAAGAGGTAAAATTCGTTATGAGCCCAGATTCTTGTAAATCTGTGCATTTAGATGTGGAGATTTGTATTCTTACAACATGTCCTATCTAATTTCAGTCAGGTGCGAATTATTTCAATAGCCGAATAACTGATTTACTGGAAGATACTGCTGCTGGACTTAAATTATATTTGCACTCTTATTTAATATATTTATCGTTCACTATTTTCTACCTGTCGATTTCATTGCATTTTACATCCCAATGCATATACGCTTCACTGGTCTTCATTTGAAGAGGTGGCAGAGGATAATCACCAAAATGTCACGTACACATTTTCTAACTGGCTGTCATATATTAATACCTATTTATGATGACACTTTGTATATATCATATCAATCTATTCATATATTAGTCAATGTCAAATTATCTTATATTCCTTCACCAGATATATAGTCTAGATAAGTTGCATAGGTAGGTAAACACATGTGCTAAAATCCAGGTAACACGTGTGAAAACTCTGGGTAGACATTTGAAAATAGACTATGAAACTTATATAATGTTTTCCTGTCTTGTTTACATAAGATAAGATAATAAAGTGTGTTCAAGGAGATAAGAACTTAAAGAAAGTGAGTACAGAATAGGTGGTATAAAAGACATACACCAATAGGAATTTCGTAAAAGTTTTAATATTAGTTTACGTCAGGTAATGATTGAAATGTATCCCGTGACTATGTTGTCCCTTCACAGTTCTTTATTGACGTAAGTTGTGTGTCTTTTGAACGATGAACATAAAACTACCAACATGGCAACATTATCTTAAAGGTCACAAGGTTCAAAAGGAACACAGGCAAATCAAAATCGGTCTCAACGTAAGTGGAAATAAAGAAGAGGCGGTAATTTAGAGCTATTTAAATCCAATGTCATATTTATTGTGGTATAACTGTGCATCTTTGTCACACCGTCCATAATAATTTGCTAAATCAAACCAGTGCATTATAGTCACTAAGTGTTTGATTTGTTTTATAAATTGTATCGAGGAGTAATTACTCAACGTCATATGAATGTATTATGGAAAACGTATGTATTTCAGATGGTCTAGCAATAGGATATGAGGACAGATATAGAAATTATACTCAAAATATTATTGCAACTATTCCAACGACTACCAAGATCTCAAAGTGTTTCAGTTAATCATCTGATTATATCACTTTTTTTCAACTATGTTTCCCGAAAAAAAGTATACTGCATATACAATATGTGTGACATGTATATCGCAATGTTTCTACAGCTTGTTACAGATATCTGGAACGAAAGTACATTGTTTCTCCCTCTATTTTTATGTGCAAGAATATCTAAGGTAATATGTTATTCTGACGTAGTACGAAGATAATCTTGGTAACTATATGTGATTTTTCGTTTAGGTTTTAACGACGTTGGTCTTTCCTTTGACTGCAATAAGTGTAGTCTGACTGAATTATACCTGAGTGAAACCGTTTCTTGTAGCACAATACGATCGAAAGTGGACAGGTCTACATTCTTTATAGGATGATGTTTATCTCGATGCATCCAGCCACTGGTCTAATTAACAGTGAGGTAAAACCAAAGGTAAATATATCACATATTTACTGAAGGCATGAAGTTCAAAATACCTCTGAAATGCATTTACGAGCCGGAAAATGGCTCCAGAAGGATGAGCGTCTTCTGCTCGAACGACAATAATATCAATGTATATACACGTCCAATTCAACTATTGCCAATCTCTCACAATCATGGTAGTGGTAGTGAAACCACATAATGTTAAGTATGCTGAAGTTCATGTCACAAAGGGAAAGAGGAAAACAGAACATTCTCCAATAAGTTTTTGGAGCGACCTATAAAGTTTGCATTGTATGCGAAGGAGATTGAAATAATTGCGATTGTCATATTGCTGATATGTAAATATTGAGATAAGAGGCTGACTTGGAAGAATATGTTATGTCCTTGATTTAATTTTCTTTGAAGTATTAAACAAATATACTCAATGAATTTCTATATGTTTAAAGACAACATACTATCTAACTGAAAGTGTTAACTATAGTCAAAAAACACCACCATGCACCAGAAGAAATAGCGACTGAGAATATCATGTCTAGCAACTACGTCAGTGAAGTTCCCAGACACTGCGAACTAGGTGAGCTCAGCATAATCCAAACACCCATGTATGTCAACCTACATACTGAGTAGATATCAACCGACCTCCTGACCGACTGAGTCTGTCTTCTTTTTTCAACACGAAATACGTGTCAACCAATGTACCTGTAGACATATATAAAAAGATTCTACCTTTTCAAGTATTTTCTAGTCCACAGCACATGATTAATTTCAGATATGATATAACAATGTCTCCTGTGTATATTTTCAGATATTTCAACATAAATTACAATGTTTTGTCTAATGATAAACATATGTTGTTAATTGTTGACAAAATGTGTAAAGGTTTAAAAATACACGTTGATTTAGGGATGAAATGATTTGTAGATAAAAACTATCAAATTGTCATAAAATCTTTCGATTTGTTTTCTTATCGTGACCTGAGAAATCATGAACAAAGGAACAAAATAAGTAATAGTTTAAACGGTATCAGCTTTTTAAACCCGGGGAAAAAAATGAGAGTTCACGCTAACATAAAAACAGTTAACATTTGAAAAAAAGCATAACAACACATATTAAGGAACATGATGGTGGCTCTCGTACAACTGTTCAAGTCTGATCTCGTGTTCGTGGTATTCAATCGATATTGCAGTTGATGAAACCTGTGTAATTGTGAATGATAGTCAACAGCATAGCAGCATTTGGTCAGAGCATTGAGTGCAATAAGGCATTATAAAATCGATCTGTATTGTCTAATTTGAAATTTAAAAAATTTGATAACTACTCATTTGCATTCCGAAGAAGTTTTGTCGTTTTGATATATAAAATAAAATGTTGGCTTCCAATCCTGTAAAGTCTCCAAATGTTTGCTCCCCAAGAGCGCCAAAGCCTACACCATTACTTGATACCATGCTTATTCCTTTTGTCAGTGAATCCCATGCCAAATTAGGTTAAAATCCATTCACATGTACTATAGGAATTGGACTCTGAACAGCGATAAAAACAGGCGATGTATAAAAATAGCTATACCTACTGTAAGGCGGAGCAGGATCGATCACCCTTTGTAACATGTAGCACACATAAAACTACTGTACGCATACTGAACAACACATTTATAAAACGCAGACATTACAAAATTACAAATTATTTACGATATTTGATAATCAACATGTTATTTGTCCACCAACTTGTCTAGCATCAATGGGCACAGCAATAAAGTTAATAAACCTACAGATTAATTACAGTTAAGTCAAGGGGATGGTATGCCTTTGTCCTGTACTTTCATGGTTAACGCGCAGTTGGATTGTAACCTTGACAGTTGTTGATAAACACTCCCTGATCTCGTTTAAACCAGTGGCGGTTGCCTTTCCAGTCACAGTGGGTTGAGTCAGTCATGGCAGCATTGTGGTCTACAATATCACGCGTGTGTACCGTTACACAGGGTAAGTCTTTTCACCTTATACTGATTTATCGTATTTGTCGACAACGAAATACACCCGATTAGTCAACTCAAACACGAATTTACTAAAAGAGAATATACTGAAATTGATTTACAGGTCACATTTAACAATTCGAAAGCAAAAATACAATGTGTAGTAAACAGAAATTAGAAAAGAAATATACTGTATTTGGAAAAGCTATTTTCTTATTATACCATAATCAAGCTGGCGATAATTCCAATGCATACCAGTCTTTATTATTTTGGTGTGTGTGTATACATGTGCACTACGGAATACGTGCTAAGGATTGACGACATTCAAATTGAAAAGCGTTTATGAAACGTAAAAAAAATAATAATAACATTAGAGACAAACATTGAGCATTGTTATCTTCATGGATATTTTTCATAATATTGCGATGAAAAACAGTGGATTTTTCCACTCTCTTCTATTAGTTTCTCATTCGTTTCAGTACGATATAAAATTATTCCAAAAAACAAAGAAACAACTCTTTATATATATATATATATATATATATACTTTTTTTTGCATTATTTTTCATGAATAACACCGATGGTAATATTCATTTTAAAAACTCTTGCTATATGATATGAAAAGGAATTCCCCCCCCCCCCCCCCCCCATCAAAACCTTTAGATCTTGAAAAAAATATGTTTCTAATCGGAAAAAAAACTGTAGTATCAGCATGTATTACAGTACCGTTAATGTAGCGCCCATATGAAGTGAAGTGAAATCATAACGTTATCAGTCTACTACTATAAAACAGTGTAAAGCGTAAATGATTGTATGAATACATTTCCTACTTTTCTGTTGATTTTTGAAGTAATCCTTTCAGATCAGATATTTCATGTGGATCTACCATGATAATTGCAGTAACATTATTCCTGTTGTACATGCTACATATTGACATTGATTACCTATGGCTCCGAACAGTAGAATACGAAGCTAAGTGAGTTACAATAAGTTACCATCACATCAGTAGTTCATTTTTGATTCTAAACTAGCAAAACAGACTTTGTTACTTAACACATGTTGCTAGGATAAATAACTACATTTTGTTACCTATTTGTTACCATTGCACATCCGAAGATATCAAGTTAACGGTACTTCTTGTAACTTATACAAAGCGGCGAGATGCACAATTGAAACACACCTCTGTAAGCCAGCACAAATAGCATGCATTGTTAGCCGTGCATGGTATGATAAGAAATGTTATCTAAGGTCGAAATGTTTAGCAGAAATAAAAGTGGCTGCTGACATAGACAATTGCAACACCGATGAAAATAAATTCTAGTTTATCAGATTTAAAAAAAGTAATTCTCACGTGAAAATGATTTTCATATGTGTATGTTAAGGTTCCTGATAACATCATAACAGTAAATTTTTATTGTAACATCAATTGCAACTTTTTAAAGATTGTTTTGATATTAGACCGTATTTCACTGATGAATCTATAGACATGCTTAATTAATGTATAAATCTTCATTGTACTCAAGGATAATGATACATAATAATTTTGAATGAAAAGTTGGAACAAAGTTCCTGATCTTAAGCACTTACAAAGATAATTCAATTCCCATTTTGATGTTAACTTGCTTAATTTGATATTGACTGTTGAGCGTCAATCTACGTAGAACATACCCCTTCAATTTCAATATCTTACAATACCAGGTCTGTATATTTAGGTTAAAGGTTACGACATCAGAACACCACCAGCGGACAGGTCACACAGTAAGTGTTACCTTGACACGAAGTGGTCTCGCGTTATCAGTAGGTCACGCTCTTGTACATTGCAGTTTACATAGAATGATAAAAATAGGCATTGGAATTTAACTGTCAGTTATGTTTATCCACAATACTAATTAAATATTTTAAATCGGTCACCTAAAATCAAATGATACTTACAGCTTTCACCTCTTCCCACTCGGCGTGGTTTGGTACACGTATCGTTTTCTGTTTCCCGTTCAAAAATGTGATATTACTTCGGTACTCGAATGTTTAAGTACGATAGTTGTCCGTAATTATAAAGCGATCATTCAGATGCTGATACGACATGAAACTCTTTAAGGTTCTCTGACTGATCTTAATCGATGTTGTGCCACGGATCATGAAAATTTGGTACATAGGCACAAGTAAGTGCTGCAAAATACACTACACATTGAGATATGACAGGGCAACAATCGTTCATTTGCTTAAAATTCCAATTGCAACGAACTGCTGTAGGTTTGAGGAGGTATGGTTCCCCAGCCGTGGCCAAAATGGTAATGAAATCTGACCCCTTCGAGCCTGACGGACCCATTGTCAACACAGAGATCCCAGGGCCTATGTCTCGTCAACTAATTGCGGAGCTAGATACCATCCAGGTGAGTTACAAGGTCATATACCTGTGTGCGACATTATTAACAAAATTTCAGCTAAGATATCGAAGTTTGACACAAAAACATCAAGATAATACCTACACGGCATCATAATCCAAACTAAAATTCCACAAAACCAGGGCAAACTATGAACAAAAGAAAGATTTACACAGAGACTCTTGAAAACAACAAGCAAAATGTCCCGGAAAAAGTGAGTGTCTTGTGCTTCATCGACAACACCCTCTATGTAAACCTTGGTCAATCCAGGTAAGTAATGTCATGTTCTCAAATGCGAACAAGGTATAAAACAACGGAGTCAACAATCAAAACACGCCCAGTTTCATATATATATATAAAAATCTCACTGTGATCAGTATGGCGACCATAAAAATATCCCATAATTTTCATCAACCTGCATCTTAAGAACAAAATAAGTGTTATATTTATTAGAGACCAGAAAAGGAAAAAGTCTGGATTAGCTATACTGGGAATACGTATTTTATATACCAGTCCATTAACACCCTTCCAGAGACCACTTCTGTATCAGCACAAACCAGGCACCAATTCTTATACTTTATTCATGACTTAGCCGATTTTATGATAGACCAGAAGTATCATAAAACCACGATCATGAAAGTGTGACGTTAGATTTGCCTTCTGCTGTAACATCAGAACTGGTGGTTATAGTAATCTGTGAGTGTTACGGTTGTTTTAAGGTGATCTATTATTGAAGTATAAAGTGGTTTCAGTCTGCTCTAATGAATACAATTTTGAAATATATCCTATTGTGACATTTTGGTTTGGCATCAGGCTCAAGTTGACCTGATTATTTGAAAAAAAGATTAAGCGGAACTCTTTTGACGTTAGGTTAAGGTTGACCTGATTATGTCACATTACGATTAAGTCTTTGTGACGTTAGGCTTAGATTGTACGTTGAACTAATTATGTGACGTATAAGCGGAACTGTTATTGTAGTAATATATTTGGATATTGATAAATCATATGTCATGGTTTAGCATCGCAAACATAAGCCATAAAGTTTATCATGATGTTGAATAGTTTAGGTAGAAGTACGGGCTAGTTGTTCGATTACCATTTCTATACATTGCAGAATACAAAAGCTGTGCACTTCTTTGTGGACTATGAGCGCAGTCAGGGAAATTACCTTGCCGACGTGGACGGGAATGTCTTACTGGATCTATACACTCAAATCGCCTCCGTTCCTATAGGTAAAATGAGATTTACACTCAGATCGTCTCCGTCCCTATAGTAAACATGACTATTTGATCTGCCACTCAGATGGCCTTCATCCCTAAGGTAAACATGACTCGTAGTGTACCTACACTCAGATCGCTTCCGTTAAGCAAAATTTGCGATATTAGTTACTTTCTATAGGCAGTTAGTGCCCTTTGTGTAGGTCCATCCAAAGTAGAATTGATGCGAAATATGACGCGACTGTGTCATTCAAATCAGTGTAATTTTGAAATATATACAGAGTAGCTGATATTTGAATTCATTTTCACATCAGAGCGACATGACAGGCAACAAATGATGTGTTGGTTACATGAAAGAGTAGTATAGGCATTGGTAGAAATATCTTTAAAGAAACTGATGCTGTTTTGTTGTAGGCTACAACCACCCAAGACTGCTAAATGCTTTGACGAAGGAAGAAAACAGGGTATGTGTTGAGGATAAAAGGATCGAATGTGGATAAATTTGTAAGCAGATGTATGAGTGTTTCCTATAGGTCAGTCCAACATCATTGGATAACAGCCTTATAAAATGGCTCTCCTTTCATGTCCGTCCTTCTCGATCTTCTTCAATCTCCATAATTATGATAAGTATGGACCCTAGCCGTGGATGCCGAGTTTAAAAACAAAAAAATGTTCCTATATCTATGATGACTTTCTGAGAAAAGAAAAAAAAATATCGATCGCGGGCATCATTTTCCGTCTAAAACCACTCCTTAACATTCAGTGTTTTTAGTTGAAATGTTGTAGCGTGTCTGTACTCGCGACACAGGTTAGATAATTCTGTTTAGTCTATCATATATCGAATAATGGAATATCTACCATCTGGTTGTCTATCAAAAATCCACATGTATTGCTTATTGTCAGAAGCTATTTGTGATGCAACCCCGGATGCCTACAAAGAAATGAGATTAAAAAGACAAAGAAATGATATTTAAATTGGGGGGAACTGGTGCATTGTGTATGTGTGTATTATTGCGTGTTCGAAAGAACATACATTGTTTTTAATTTGAATGATATCAATCAGCCAATCATTGTGGTTTATTTTTCCTTTTGTGTCCATCAAATGAAGACCGACCAACATACTTATAAGACATTTAAATACGAATATATGAACTTTAAATACTTGGTGGCATGACCTCTGTACACAACATCTATTGTTCCATGTTCTTAACTATTTATACTATCATTTCGTGTTCTTAGTGAATGAAATATTGCATACTGAATGTCCATGATTTCAAATTTGGCTATGAAGTCGCCGTATTTGATCGATGGACTGTTATGTTGAATAGTAGTAAGCACACAATTCTCCGGTTCCCTTACGTATTGGTATAGATTTGGACAAATATATCTAGTGTGGAGACAGAGCGCATTAGTATATATATAAACATCGCCCCAGTTAATTTTCGTCCCTATTGTCCATCAAGAGGGAGAGCGAATTTGATATTTATTCTCATATAACGCGTTTATATAATTCCCACTGGGCGAAATAAACAAATTCGTGTACATTGGTAAAATAACCTGGGGCGAAAAAATGCCAGTATATAGTAAGACCTACGTTATATATTTCGCAGTTTGTTTTATAACGTGTTACAGTTGACATTTTTCAAAAATGTAACTACGTAAAAAATCACGCTATTGTGTATTTATAGATATGAAAACGTTTCTATTCCCGCCTTATTACGAGCATGTATGTCTTAAGTTTTCTCATCACACAAACTTCGTTTACACACTGATAAATGAGACATCTATTTATTGTTAATAAGACTGGATTAAATGGAATAAAAGTAAACTGTAGTGAAGAGAAACCGCCAAACCTAACTCCTCTTAGAAAATATGTACAGTATAAATAATTTGGTTATGCTTAGAAGCTAGAAAGATTCTATTTACTAAAGTAAAATAGTAGGCGAAGTCATTGGGAGGTTGACAAATGAGAAATAAGATTTTGGTAGTTTATTTAATGCTAAAGCAATTTATCAAGAAGCCAAAATAAATGAAAAATGTTTTAAAATATACAAACTGGTACATTAAATGCCTAATAATGAATCAAACTGCACTAAACGACTGCTTCCTCTTTCTGGAGCTGTCATTGATGTTAGGAGCCCAGTCCCAGTGTGAAAAAAAAGAAAGCTAGGTTTGTAAATCGGCCGATATAAATTATGAACGTAAACTTAGGAGTCTTGGGATACGTACTTACCGTTTGATTTGATAAAATTTGTTAATTGTAAATAATGCTTTATTTAGATACATAAATGTTTAAGCAAATGTGTTCAATAACAGGTGCCCTTTAAGATGCATATAGAAATTTCAATGAAAGAGATTTTAAAAAAGTTTTTATATGGTAAATCAATCAATCATTTTATCATTAAATGCAGCTGTAAATAATAAAGGTGTCTTTAGGTTTTCTGTGATATTGTAGGTAGGTTTTAGGTTTAAGTTTGAATCTTTTTAGAGTTTGATCGTCTATACCGACTGATCCATGTGTGTTCTTGAGTAATATTCCAGTTCACTATTTTTGTAAGAATTGAAAGTCCTTCCTAATGTATGTTTGAGGACGGTTTATGGCATAATTGAAACAGGAATGAATACAATTTCTTTGGGTGTGTAAGTTTTGAAATGTAACCGAAGCGACCATATTTTTATAATAATTCGATCATGATAAAGTTAAGATCTCCTGACCACTAAATTCCTACATATCAAGAGAACGATATTCTGTACAAATTGACATTGTTGGATATACGAGTGAGAAAAAGTTTTTCATAAGGTTGCCTGTCTATCCTTGCGGATTTTACATGACAACTAACTTTAGATTTACTCTGTTTACAGGCTACGTTCGTCAACCGCCCTGCTTTAGGAGTGTATCCACCTCGGGACTTTAACGCTCGACTCAAGAATGCTCTCCTTTCGGTAATTAGAAATGCATTCATTTTCACATATTGTACCCACAGTTTTAATGCGTTACATCCTAATTTCTGTTTTGCAATACTCCAGTAAAATTAGCTCTTTGAAACTTCATGCATATTAACCAACTATCTATTAATTTGTATTCTCATAAGTTGACAGTTCGTTTAAATAACGCAACACGGTAATGTAATCTTTTGAATATATTTTCCGTATTGTAGTCGTTCAACCTCGTTCCAAAAGACCTTGGTCAAAATGATGGCAACAACTCATTTTAGACCACTTTAGACAATTTTTTTTCTAAGGCATGCTTCGTGAATTTCATTTCTCTGCTCGTTCCTCGAGTACGATATTCTAAGCCAAGGCACGCCATCCTCTCGATGTTGTTGTATTCCAAATATCAAACATTTTCAGAATATCTTATCATATGCCCTACTGATTTGCTGAGAGTCACCTTTTGTAAAATCAATCTTAGAATAAATCTAAAAGATAATCAGATACCAGAGCAATATCTGGATGTTGAGGTCATTTGTGCTACTGTGAATAATATTTTTGAGGCTTTTTAATCCACCGGCCACAATAATACAAAATATTGATAGCGTAGCAATGGAAATATCTAATATTCGATGTAAACAATCAGTGCAGGTGCATGTTTCAAATTTAGGACTGAATGTCATGTTGATGTGATAAACATTTTAACAAACATTAATAAGTGAAATAATCACAATCAATGCCAGATATAGACGTAGTCATCGGAGTTTTGACCAATCAATGCTTTGCGCCCAAAGACCTTAGTGTTGTTATGTCTAGGGTCTATATTCAGACATCACGTTTGTATATTGTGATATATTTTGACATGTCTGAAACCTCAAGGTCAAACGCACTCATGAATTCCCATGACTATGAATTACTAGGACTATGAACACCAAGCCGCGGTCTGGGTCTTACTCTAGGAAGGATCAATTTTATCTAATCGCGCGAACATTTTATGTCCAGTATTGAGTTATATAGAACATGGGAGTTTAAATATTGATTATAGTTTCACCCATGTTTCGTTTTAAACGATTGATAAAAACGTCTTAAGACTCCTATTCCTCGTTTTATCTCGAAAATGATTTCCCTCAGACATACAGTATTTTGGTTTGAATGTTTGTTTTTGGTTTGTAAACATTTTAGTCAAATGAACTCGGACGAATCAAAATAAGTGGTCTAAAGGCATTGAATATACCAGTTCTCTCTCAGCCACAGATATATTTATACATATTTTTAAGTACATGTAAAAAACAGTTTTTCATGGCATTATAAATGATTTATTAGTTATCATAATTACGCAAGGGAAGGAATCATTTTAAGGTTTCAAAGATGATAAAATGTCAGCTGTGATGTCAAAGTAATGAAACATTTTCCCGTAGGTGGCTCCTCCTGGCCTGAACCAAGTCCAGACAATGGCGTGCGGGGCATGTTCTGTAGAACACAGTCAGAAAGCTATGTTTATTGCATACCAGGTACATATTTTTATCTATCAGATAGTCCTGGATATGATTTTAATTCTAGACTCCCTTTAAATGCTTTGACTCTCTACATCATCTGTGACGGAAACAGTTAATCAAAGAATGCAGTTTGTTTTCCGCATCCTAGGTTTATTCATATTGTATTGATGTGTAATAGTATGGAATCGTTGAACAAACTATTGTTTAAGCTAATGTGTTAAGTTGAAAGTATCGATCGATCAAACCGTTGTATCGTTTTTACATTTATTAATATTAATTGATTTGCTGCTCTTAGCGTCGTCGGAGAAATGGACGGCCTATATCCAAAGAGGAAATCCAGACATGTCTTGAAGGAAAAGAACCTGGATGTCCCAATCTATCGGTTCTATCGTTCAAGAACGGACTACATGGCAGAACTATGGGTACGTTAATATAAGATCAGTTCAGAGTTGCAATACACAGTTGAGTGAAAATAACCTTTCGCATTAATGAAAAAATAATCTGTATTCTCGTTTGTAATTCTCTGTCTTCTCGCTCTTTTACATAGGTGCCTTGGGTGTTACCCATGCCAAGTGGCCATTGAAGTTGGATTTCCCTGTGCCTGACTGGCCCTATGCCAGTTTCCCTACCCTAAAATATCCTCTGGACCAGTTCATACGGGAGAATCGTATCGAAGAGAACCGTTGTTTGGAAGAGGTACTGACAGTTTTAATAAAATCTCATTTTCTCCCTTGCTAGGCCCCTTTAGAACATAGGCATACTCGTTTGGCCTCTTAGCATGTCACGCCTTCAACAGTCTTTTTCATCTAGATGATACAAATCTTTAAAATTAGCTTTGCGATCCCATGTTTCCCTATGTCAAAACCATCCCAAGCTTTGTTTGTCCATTTGTACACTTAGCTAATCGCTTTCATTTCCCCACACTCAGTTATATTTTGTACATTGAAATAGTCCTCGAAAAAACAATTCCGCTTCAATATATATCTATAAGTTTAAGGAAATCCTCATATCTAATCTTGCCTTTCTTTCAGGTTTTTATTTATACTTGTACACGAGGCAAGGGAATTACGCGCATTCCACATTTACGCGAAGTTTAAAAAAAAAAAAACCGTCATGGTTGAACGTATGACATGTTCAATGTTTTCTCTAACGAATAATTCACAAAGGGGAAAGTTTTCTTTGATTATAAGAAAACCCCTAGTTTTCATGCCTTTTTGACTTGTGTACGAGAACAAGAATATGTTACTTGTGTGTATTCGAAATTGATTTGATTAAGTCTCTTGTTGACATTCTGTGCTTCTCATCCACCGCTTCAGTTTGAATGAGAAATTGTTACAGAATATATGCTCTTGACTGATTTAAATCGATCTCGAATACCTAAAGGTAACATATTCCTTTGATTTGATGTTTTCTGTGACCTGCTACATCATTGTGCTTTGTTTACAGGTTTTGGGAGTATCTCCATGACGTAACAAGTAAATGCAGAGGTGTGAGGCCATTGAACAAATATATTGCTGTCAAACTAAATAAACTGGTTAGCCTTTGTATTCCAGGAATCTTTTGGAGCTTCTTGCCCCATCATATACATAAAATCTTTTGTTTTATATATGCATTTAATACTTGTTTTATATATGCATTTAACGATACTTTTCTTTATTAATGAAAACACATATCTCTCTTCTTTTGCGTGAATGCTGAAGACTTATCAATGTTCTTCAGCAAAATACAATAATGTATATTGTAATACCAATAGTAAAATACGATACACATGCATTTTTTATTTTAGCATGTTATAAAATCGGTAGCATGGAATATTTCTCACTGTAGCATATCCGTTAAAAGTAAAAGATGTTCTTTTTCGTTATTTACCAGGTGCGGGAGCGTATACATGCCTGGGATAAGAGGAGCTGTCCCGTGGTAGGAATTATTGTGGAGCCGATCCAGTCAGAAGGAGGAGACAATCATGCGACTTCCTACTTCTTTCAAGGTCTCCAGGATATCGCAAAGGAAGTAAGTATGTCAAGGATACGAATATTTGTACTGATATCCAGGACAAGTAGAGATAGTAAGCAATGGAGATATGTGATAAATCAGAACATTACTGATAGCACTGATGTGCTGATAGAAGAATTGTGGGGGGAAGGGGGAAGGGAGGGGGGGCGGGGTTGCAAGTCGTAATGAGACAAAGTGAAAACGAATGCAAATGTATTGCACAATTATTTATAACAAATAAAGATCAGGGGATGCTAATTTCTTATTGGTTTAGATATTAAAGAATGTATGTGTCCGTATTGTATACTGGAGACCCAGTGCATGTACCATGCTTTCTGTTATCAATAAGTTCCATTGTTTCCAGTACGAAATACCCTTGATGATGGATGAAGTGCAAACAGGATGTGGATCAACTGGAAAGTTCTGGGCACACGAGCACTGGAATCTAAAGGATTCTCCTGATATTGTGTGCTTCAGTAAGAAAATGCTTACTGGGGGATTTTTCTTTAAAGACCACTTACGGCCTGAAGAAGTAAGTCATGTGGCCCAATAACCAACTGTCTGCCATATATAGTTCACATAGACTACTCAACAGTCCTCAAGATGTAGGTCATGAGGTCTCAGTTATGATAATCCTGCATACAAGTTAACGTAGTTTACAGATTAAAAAAATATATCTAAGTTGGATCACGTCGATTAACCTACAACAAAATACATAGCAACTTTTAGGAAATAGATAATTTGGTTTATAAAACATCCATTAAGAGGTCGGTCATTTGATATACAAAAACAAATTAGGTTGAAAAAAAGATCAAGAAAATACTAACATGGTATTCAAACTCAAATTCAATAAAACCAGGGCAAATATGAACAAAAGAACGATTTACACGGAGACTCATGAAAAAGTACAAGGAGAATAAGACCAGGTGTTCCAGAAGAGTAAGCGTCTTATGCTTTATCGACGACACCCGTCATGTGAAGCTTGGTTAATCCAAGTAAGTAATGTCACGTTCTCAAATGAGAGCAAGGGGACATTTGTTTACCCATAAGTATGGCAATAATCTGTGGGAAGATCTTACCATCAAAATCGACGAAGTTGTTGTCAACCAGAAACTCTTTTTTATATATTTCATCTTTGATTTGGACATAAGTTATTTTTTACGAACTACGCTTTTGTATAGTTTACAACCATATATTTTTACCGCCATTCATCTTTCTTGGAGAAGAAAGCTCTAATACAGTTAAGTATCCAATTTAGAACCTTTCGTCCGGCAACCGTGCGTCTCGCTATCGGCTACCGTTCGGCTTGCGCCCGGTTTAGGCTGATTAGATGTAAAACTGGCCGTTTTGCTTATTATAGCATTGGCCACTCCGTCTGGCTTTTGCGTTCGGCTATTCCCGTTTGGCTTTTTATTCGACTATTTCGGCCTCTACATTATATAAGCTGTGGACTCTGCTATAGAGAATATCAACAATGCTATGATATAGTTGTAAAATTATGCCTAAAAGGCGTTATTCATGTGATATTAATTTTATATATAATTGAATGATTTATAAAAATAGTTTGAACGCGAAAAATGCCATTTCGTAAGCATAAACATTTTTCAGTGACCGGGCCATGAGGAATTTTCTTTTGTTTGTGTCGGTTATCTAATTAAAACTCCACTTTATTTCACCTGACTGATTAAATTTAAATTCACAATCAAACATTTATTTGCACTGCATATCGCCGAGACGAGCCCAGGACGCTGATTTATGCTATTTTTCAACTGCATGTTTATTGTACCAAAAACGCTAAAAAATGTTTAATATCACAAAATAACCTATCTTCCGATACTAATTGAATTAAGAATACACCACAGACGTGTACACTAATAGGAATTAAGCATCGATGTCTTAATTTGGTTATGAAATCAATTAGAATTATATCGTTTTCAGTCAACTGTATGTGAAAATCAGAATCTAGAATATGTGTTGAGATACCCATTCAGATGTATAAGCATATGCCATGTTTGGTTATGACAGTAATTAGAAGTACATCATTTCATTCATTAATACCACATGAAGAGTTTACCAATTTGACCTTGACATATTGATTCCATCTCTGGATTTGTTAGCAATCAATTTCAAATTGCAAACATTTCTACAGGTAAAAGATGCACTGGTGATGGCCAGAATTAAATTTAAATATCTGATGACATCATGTAAAACAGACTATGATAACTAAAGATCAAGGTAAGTATAGGTGATAAATAGCAAATAATCCAAAAATGAAAGATGTCTGATAACTATTGACTAGGGTGAGGTCACATCCAGGCCTGGGTGAATACAAGGGTCTTTTTTCTGTAAACCACAGGAGGACTCACACACTTGTACAATACTGTACCTTTAAACTACAGCATCAGATGCAGGGAGTTTATCACTATATAACAAATAACGAATCTGACTGTAATAAATAGAATGTTGAACTTTGGTCTATGTAAAGATAAGTAAAGTCTGCGTTGGAGTTTTAAAGGTCACTGGCAACGATTTTTCTCTGGTATATTTAAACATAAATAACTTCACCTCTCGGTGCAATTATAGCCAAGTATACGCTCTGGCCTTTACCGGTCGTGTTTGGGAATCTCCCTACTCTAAAATATTTGATGTCATTTCTACTATAAAAATATCTGCCAGTTGGTACTGCTGAATGGTGTGGAAGCTTCTTATATGACACTCCTATAATCGGTATCATTTCAGCAGCGGTGATATGCTGTGTTTGTTGTCCAGGGATATTACAAATCAAGTGAAAACGAGTTTCCTTAGTAGGAGTTTAAAAAAAAAAAAAAAAAAACAAACATAATTCAAACAAATACCGATTAAACAAATCAACTGGGTAGACTCTTCTCGATCTGTATAAATCTGGCCAATATATCAACTAGAATGCATACTAACCTCAGCATCTGCTGACATCCTTTTCATGTCATGCCTGGGTGAACACTTGGACACTGGTAGTTTAGTGTCCAGCGTCATCAAACTAGCATCAAGACTCCGGAACAGACCGAGGAAGTAGATGATGTACTAATATCATAAAACCTAACGTTATGGATAATGTATATATATTATATAAACTAATTAACACATCCATAATAATTTGATGGTTAAACGAACAAAAGCTGTTAATCGCGCAAACAAGCAATCCTGTTATCAAATACATCATATACCGATGTTAAGAGGATGGGAGGAAACATCAACTCTCTGCAAACAATACATTTCGCTGTTTATTAAAATCAAACAATATTATTTTGAACGTTGAATTGTATTTTGTTGACGATGTCTAATCAAGCTGCATATACGAGAAAGCTTAAATGCTCGGTCAAAAAACGTGTCAATTTATAACTTAGAATAAAGTGGAAAAGACTGTGTGTGAGAAATATTGATGAGCATTTTAAAACCCAACATAACTGATACGACATAGGTAGAGCTGTTTTTAGTCTATATCAGAAGTTTGTTAGGATTAGTTTAACAATTGTCTTGATAAAACGACACCTGTTTTTGTCTTCTAAAAGTTTAATTTTGCATGGTTGTAATTGTGTTGAAGGTTTTTCGCAGTGAAAGCATCACGTCCAAATATAATTGTGCTAATTACAGTTTTTATATTGCTTGAATAATTGTGCCATATTATGTACGTTTACGGTACAGATAATTGCCAACACCCAATATTGGAATTGCTTATGTCTGTGTCATTTTAGGGGCACAGGATCTTCAATACATGGTTGGGCGATCCATCTAAGTTGATATTCCTGGAGGAGGTAGTGAATCTGATAAAGGAGGAGGGACTCTTGGAGCGAGTTGAAGACACCGGATCTTATCTTCTCAGTGGCCTATGCGACATTCAGGTAACAAACTACTATGTGACATTAAAGTTAGCACTCAATCACACGATTATACTTGAAAATATTAATTAAAGCGCTGATCTATTGCTATGTTATGTAACGACGAATAAATATCTTTACAGGAGAAGTACCCCGGTTTACTAAGTAGGGCAAGAGGTGTGGGAACGTATTGTTCTGTTGACGTCAAGGACGCTGAAACACGTGATACAATTCTCTACCGACTAAGACATAAAGGTATCTACTCCCGATAACTTAATACACGAATGGGACTTGTAGGATTTTATCAATAGTCTATTGCCGTAATTGTCATTTGATCGAAAATGTCACAAATTGACTTCAAATTAGCGAACTTTCCTGATTCTTGATTCGTAAAAGTAGATGCCAGGAGGTTGGATGCTTATTGTCTGCACAAAATCAAGAACATATTTAGACTTATATAATTCAAGTGCTTATATCTTATTGAATAACAAGTTAATGTACCTTCATATGTTTTCTTTTAAAGGTGTTAATCTTGGTTCTTGCGGAATCAGCACAATCCGATTTCGACCGACTCTCCTCCTGTGTAGATATCATGTTGATATTTTCTTGGACGCATTTGATTCCGTAATAGCAGAATTTGATCGTTAAACTTCTGCCGATACGGACTCGCACCTGACCATAGCTGATCATTCAGGGCAAAGGAGGTGGAATTTCTTCTCATTCATGTGACTCTAGTGTAATCTTATAGTGACTAAGTACTTGAACAGAACACATTGTCTTAGGATAAAAATCACTTCGGCTTCAGTCCTAATAGATTGAAGCGTTTCAACAGCAATTTGTTCACAATATTCCTGACTTTCATTTTTGTAGTGAATATCACATTATTTGTATAAATGTATTTACAGCTTCATGGAATGATCATAAATGAACACCATCCCTTAGAATTCTCGCACTTAATTCAATCTTTATATGAAAACGGAGAAGATAGAACGTATATTTTGATATTTTGCTTAATATTCAAGATTTATTCATATGTCCATTATCAGTAGCATCTATCAGAATATTAGAGGCCGTTACGTAAATATGTTTATACATATAGTTAAGAAAAAAATGTAAATACTGTTGTAAAGGGTTAAGCTTAAGTTTAATAGAATTTAATCAGATTCAGGCGAATATTTAGGATTAGTGACATGTCTATGTCAAACCTGGTGACTAGGAGAGTTCAATGTGTTGTACCAGTGATGTTGCTAGGGTGCCCCTAAATAGGGAATGTTGTAGATTTTTAATTTGCCCTATATATCAGCATGATTTAAAGGGAAATGTCTTATCCCTACATTACACTAAATGTTGTTCCTACATTGGTGCATACAAATTGTATGTAAATTTAGTGTTGGCAACATTGGTGCAGCTATTGATACCAGTTTACATGTTTAGGGTCATTTAATACGTAAGATTGTTTTTAATGTTCATTAAATGGTGACTATCATCGCATTATAAATTCGAGAGCTGTAGCAATATCAAAATAATAGAAACTTTTATATATGCACGCAGTACTAAATATCTTTCCGAAAAATTGAAAGTAAAACATGTTTAAATGTTGTATTTAGTATTGGCAATTACACCGTACACGGCGAAGTATTGCCGCATACAAATTTGATCGATTCAGATCAACCTTAAGGAGGATATGTTTGCTGATTTGTGTAAGTGAAATGGAAACTAAATCTGTTATTAATGCTAAGAATATGTGAGCGGTTTTAATGGAATTTGATGGATAGTTTCTCAGGGGCCGGCGAACAAAAAAACTGATTTTATCATCGTCATGGTGTGATTCGGAAATATGTGGACAAACCAATTACAAAACCTTGTATTCTTCGGCTTGCTCAGGGCAAATCAAATGCTGAGACACAGACGAACTGAGAAAAATGATGGCACCATTATACGCTTTACAACAAACCGCAATATTTTCATGTATTTCCATAAAAAGTATTTAATGATTGTCCTTAAATATATATCTGTACTCGGTATAACATGGTAACAGAAAGAGTTGTAAAAATGTAATAATAATAACGTAATATAGAGAAGTGGTACTTGTATGCTTCCTCAGAGATTGCAGGTGGAATGCATTGCTTTTGTAATGGCACGATGAACACATGTCCTTGACCTTTTCTTTTCCAAATTATTAACATATCGAAAGTTATCTTTTTTTAATTTAGGGACCACTGCGCCTCCTCCATTGGTTTTTAAGATATTTCTTTCAATCCACTGATTTCAGCCATCTGCACCACTCAAGAAGCATACAGTAACAAAACTACTGTATCATCCTGATCATTAATATAATTTAAGATTAAAAATTTTGAAATGTCCAAACTTTTCCTAGGCTGAAACAAAATCAGGGGACATTGTTCGTAAATACCGAACACTCATCCCGACATGATAAAACAGCACTGTTGTGGAAAGTCGCTCATAACACGCCGCTTAAGCGATAATCATGTAATGATTTAAAAACAAACAGCTTTCTATACTTGCAGGAGAAAGACCAATGGAATGTAATACTGTTCACATTCAAGCTAGTCGTTTAAATTTATAGTTCAAACACTGTTTACAATACAATTTTATTAAGGATAAGTGTTGAATTTTAATTATCAACAAATATATTGTGTTGAATATTATTGCAATACACTGATGGCTTTTCTTACACTGAGTATGTGATGTAAAGCTGATACTTTTTCTACATTAAATACCTCACATTAAAGCTCACGTGTCTGTTTTATTTTCACTACAGCCCGTACCAATAGAATACAACAGAGAAAGGTATTTTGGTAATTAGTAGATCGATTTCAACTCGGCCGTCTTTCGAACACTCAAGCTAAAACTTGTTATTGTTTTTTTCATTATTAAACCAAGTCTTTATTGCCCCACTGGGTCTAGAATATCAATGGTTGCAAAAATGTTTCTATCCATTTTCATTATAACGTTCAGGATGCAAAATGTTTCTGGGCCCGTTTAATAAAAGCCTCTGAGTTTGATAATATCGGAAAAGTAAGAAGACACGAGAAGTTAAAAATCGGTATTCGTCATACAGTTTATAATAAACGGTGAAATGAAACCTCTACAAATGGATACGTAAGTCAGGCCAAATCCAATACTATATTTACAATAAACCGTCTAACGGGCATTCTAGCTACGATGTTAATTGAACAAGATATTAAAAGTTTTAAACTATTTTCCTAAGTTGGTCCATTTAATTTTAACATCTACCGGGTTGTTAATACATGGGACTTCCGCATTTGAGCTATTTTTCTTGATAACCCATAGAATACATAAGGGAGCTGAACTGGTGTTCATGAAGAGTAGTGATTTTGGCTCCACCTGCAGGAGCTACTTTTGTGGTTGTACAAAATAGATGTCATAACTTAAGGATCAGATTGGATATGAATCTGCAAGATTTTTACGAGTAGAATTTCGAACCAAAAGACAGATTTATCATACCGGATATTGATACATGAAGATTTGAAATATGACATGGTGAAGACATCATTATACAGCAAACAACATGTATTCCCTGACACTGTGTAATATATTCATATATATATATATATCCTCGTACTGATTCAACCCCTACCGAGTTCTTGTCGTATGATTTTCCAGCATATCATTATATGGTAATAGATATTCAATATGCTGCAAAACGTAAACAATAGATAGTCTGCACACACATATTAAGAAATGAAATTTTCATGGACGCATGCTTCTCCGGAATATATAGCGAATATGCAAGAAAATTTATCCTCTCATGATATACATACTAAGATGGAAAAAAGGACACTTAAATCCTAGTCGATTTAATACAAGTTGTGTCAAGTTCTCAAAATGAGAGAAATATAACTACGAAACAACAAAGCAACCATATGAGCATATAACTTCATTTCGCACAAAGAAAAATATATTTATCGTTGAGATCATAATGTTAATCACATAACTTCACCGTGGGTTTCATCCACCAGCTTGTATCGAAAATATGGGTTGCAAGGTTATCAGTAAGCTGTTTCAAAAGTCGCAATATTGGGAACCAGAACGTAAACGACATAGATTGGGGATATGGAACTACTATTAACGATAGGCAAATTGTTCATCACACTTATCCTATAGCTCAGTGAAAAACTGTCTTTGCTGGTTGCGTTGTAAATTAAGATCGAGTAAGGGTTAGGGTCCTTGATTTCCGATTTCGGTGGTTATATAGGACAGACATGCTTAATGAACTCGTGCTATATAAAGATAAGACATCATTTTCATATCTTTGTTAATTGCTTTCAAAGCTTCTTCAATAGCACATCCTTATTTTAAAAAAAATAACTACAAGTCAGTCAAGTAAGAGAAACAGTTCCATCCATTCACTCTGGAACAAAGATACGCTTTAATAACACATGCAATCTAAACATTCATATTACATACTGTTTACATGAAATTTTCAGCACGACATCCGTTCTATTTCTATGAATAAATCTGTATAATATTATTACTGGTATGGAAGCAATGGGCTTAAAAAGACATTGAATGGTACATTCCATGAGACAATTTATTATGAGATTATGATATCACAAAAACAGGATGTAGTTGTTGATCTATGTTTTTGTTTGCGGCATAAATTATAGAACGCAAAATGAAAGTATTTGGAGAGATAACTTAAGTTCCTTGCTATAACTCAAATGTTACTTGCTCACTTCAACTGTGTTTGTTTATCGCAAGTAAAACTGTTCGATAAAATTCCAATGTAAAAATGACTGCTCCACGAGGCTCAACAAAATACTTTCAACATTGGATTAAAGGTGACCTCCATAACTGAGAAACACCATCTGCCATTTCAGTAACAGCTTAACACATTCACACAGTCCAGCATGGCTCATTCAGTCTAGACGGTGCTGCTATCGGTAACAGTCTATTGTGAATCCATCTTACGACTTCTTAAGATTTCAGCCCACCTATCACTGAATTGAAAGCGTCCAGAAAGATGTCCACGTGATCTCTGAACAGGGCTAGGGTAGGTCTGAACCGGATGGTACAGTTTCCACAAGAGCCGAGATGAACACCTTCAATGAAATATATGATAAGTAAGAAGATAAATGGCATACCGAAACTATATTGTATTTACCAGAATAACAATTAGACAATTATGAAAGTTCTAATACCGGAAAATAACTATTTGACTTTGCATTAATATACATACCAATATAACATTTATCTGACGTACATCTATGACAATATCATTCGAATATTGTCACATATATCATTCATCTGACGTACATCTATGACAATATCATTCGAATATTGTCACATATAACATTTCATTTATATACATTCATTTTGTACCTACATCATTTTAATCTTACTGATATATGTTTTGTTTTAGTATTTTCCTTGTTTTCACATATAACATTTATCTGACATTTTTTCATTTGTATCTGTTTAATTCTATGACAATTTGTTTTGAATATGTAAGTCACATATAACATTTATTACATTTATATGCGTACATCTATGACAATATCATTTGAATATTGTCACATATAACATTTATCTGACGTATATCTATTGCAGTTTTCAGACTTCAATATTGTTTTTCATATAACATGGTGTTTGTTTGACATTTATCTTCCCCAGCTACTCCTTTTTATGACAAATATCATTTTTCAATATTGTTTTGCACATATAACATCTTATTTGTCTTTGTTGAAGGTACATCTATGACAATATCATTGTTCGAATATTGTCACATCTAACATTGTCATTTGTTTTGTATCATCTATTGTTTACAATATCATTGTGAATATTGTTTTACATATAACATTTATCTGACATTTATCTGACGTCCATCTATGACAAAATCATTCGAATATTGTCACATATAACATTTATCTGACATTTATCTGACGTACATCTATGACAATATCATTCGAATATTGTCACATATAACATTTATCTGACATTCATCTGACGTACATCTATGACAATATCATTCGAATATTGTCACATATAACATTTATCTGACGTATATCTATGACAATATCATTCGAATATTGTCACATATAACATTTATCTGACATTTATCTGACGTACATCTATGACAATATCATTCGAATATTGTCACATATAACATTTATCTGACATTTATCTGACGTACATCTATGACAATATCATTCGAATATTGTCACATATAACATTTATCTGACATTCATCTGACGTACATCTATGACAATATCATTCGAATATTGTCACATATATTATTCATCTGACGTACATCTATGACAATATCATTCGAATATCGTCACATATATTATTCATCTGACGTACATCTATGACAATATCATTCGAATATTGTCACATATATTATTCATCTGACGTACATTTATGACAATATCATTCGAATATTGTCACATATAACATTTATCTGACATTCATCTGACGTACATCTATGACAATATCATTCGAATATTGTCACATATAACATTTATCTGACATTCATCTGACGTACATCTATGACAATATCATTCGAATATTGTCACATATAACATTAATCTGACATTCATCTGACGTACATCTATGACAATATCATTCGAATGATATTTCTGCCCTAAAGAACATGTTAAGAATCACCAGTTGATTCACAGTGAGAGAAAACAGGAAAAAAATATGTGTTCTTTAAACCATATTCTACCTTTTTGCCTAAGCTCATTCAAAACCTTATCCCTGGTGTCAGCGTCCTTGAAGTCTATTGCACAATATGTTCCAAGTCCTCGTGCCTTGCTTAGTATTCCGGGGTACTTGGTCTGTAATTTGGAAAAGAAAGCATTCTTAGGACCACTTATCAACGTCTGTAAAGAATTTTCTTGAACATTACACCATATATGTTTTACCTGCATATCGTAGAGTCCGCTAAGTAAATAAGATCCGGTGTCTTTCACTCGCTGTAAAAGTCCTTCCTCTTTTATCATATTCACCACCTCCTCAAGGAAGATCATTTTGGAAGGGTCTCCTACCCATGTATTGAAAATCCTGTGTGCCTGCAATGACATACACGAAAAGATCATACAACCAATAACATACAATGATCCTATAATTTATAACCTCTTCGGTATATCTCTTTAGTATTGAAACCTTATAAACAACGTGACCTACCTCTTGAGGACGTAAGTGGTCTTTATAGAAGAATCCCCCGGTAAGCATTTTCTTACTGAAACACACAATATCGGGAGCATCTTTCAGGTCCCAGTGCTCATGCGCCCAGAACTTGCCAGTTGCACCACATCCTGTTTGCACTTCGTCCAACATCAAAGGGATTTCGTGCTGGAAAAGAACAATATTATTGACTTAAGGCAAATGAAATTCGCTTGATATATAGCTACGTGAATTTGTTTTCTGCAATTTGCAAAAGTATTTATCAGATCAGAGAAACATACAAGTGATCACATGCAATACCCTCCGATAATGCAGTTCTAAAAACATTTTTCTTAATTATTTCGGCTATTTATAGTAGTGATACCAGCGCATCCGTCCGACAATAACCTTGTACAAGACGCACTTATTCAAATATACCAATACGTTCATTCATCCTTAGCACTATTTTGTTCTCCAGAAAAGAAGGATACCATCCCTTTTGAAAACTTAACTTTATCTTACAACAATTATTATTGTTATGTTATTCCAACTGATATCAATATCTCTTGCTGGCCCGGAAGAGTTCTTGTGTAGGAAGAAAACCAGAGTAGTTGGAGAAAAGCCACGTGATTTGGCTGGTGACCCCGTACCTTTTCACATCTGTTGTAGGAATCGAACCCGGGTCTAAGTATAAAGCAAGTCCGATATCATTGCGCCAGCCGGCCAATATCATATAAATTTTTCAACAAATATTCAATCAAGTGTCCCGATTTCAAATTGTCAACGTCAAATTTGTACACTTGTGCAATACTGTCATCATCCATAGTCTACTTACATCGTTGGCGATGTCTTGGAGACCTTGGAAGAAGTAGGAAGTCGCATGATTGTCTCCTCCCTCCGACTGGATAGGCTCCACAATAATCCCGGCCACTGGACAATTCTTCTTCTCCCAGGCATGCAAACGCTCCTTCACCTGGAGAATTATAGTACAACTATGTGACAGCTGTTATCAAGCATTTAGAAGCATTTTATATAGCATAATTTGGTAAAATAATATTACCAAGACTGTAAAGTCGATTTGCCCACGTGTTGACTACGGATGAATAACCACATTGGACACAGTATTTGTTCATTCAAGTCATCGCTATAAACTTGCGTTGAATGTCATGAGAATGGTAGGAATAGGTATTGGAGAGTTTAGAGACTGAAGGGGTAAGATTAGGTATTAAAGTGACATTTAGTGACTGATAGGGAATGATTATGCATTAGAATTATCAAGAAGGAACAAGGAGAGCAGGTCTGATATCGGGTGTATATGTTTTGATGTTGACCAGGTAACAGAGCGTGTTTTGTTATGATGTATGTGATATCTTTATAATAACAAACCTCATCCAAACAGCGGTCTTCTTCAGCTCGGTTCTCCCTATGGAATTGGTCCAGTGGATACTGCAGGTTGGGGAAACTGGCACAGGGCCAGTCTGGTACAGGAAAGTCCAGTTTGTGAACCCATTTGGTATGTGTAACGGCCAGGGCACCTGTCATCAATGATCAGACGATATTAAGCATTCATATAAATGAATATTTCGAAAACTTTTCATAAATTATCCTCTTACATCTTAGTATTTACATACCCATAGTCCTGCCATGAAAACCATTTGTAAACGATAGGACAGACAGATTGGGACTTCCAGGGGCGTGTCCTTCCACACATGACTGGAGTTCTTCGGGAGAAGGGGGTTGCCCACCTCGCTGACGGCGCTGAGAGCAACAATCAGATCCATGTTTAATATAAAAGCTACATAGTAAATAAACTCATGCATAGTTTTCTGCATGAATATCAAATAGAAGGATTATTGAAGTTTCACGTGAAATTATAAGCTCACTCGTTTAATGTAAGACATGTCCCTTGTTTTCTTACCATATTACGGTATTTCTTACAATTTAATTTAAACTCAAGACAATGGTTAAAGTACATAAAGGCATTACCTGGTATGCAATAAACATAGCTTTCTGGCTGTGTTCTACAGAACATGCGCCGCAGGCCATTGTCTGGACTTGGTTCAGGCCAGGGGGAGCCACCTAGATCACAAATCATAATGGTTATGGCTTCTCGAGTTAAATCACAGTTAATGTAATATATAGGTGAAGTACGTGGAGTAAATCAATTATGAAAATACTTATCCGGTAACACAGTATAACCTCGACCGATCAGAAAATACTGAAATACACTGTATCCTTCTAATATTGGAATTATCTTGTCGTTATACTGATCGGATTTATTCCTCATATTCAACACCTTTACAAATATTTTTTCTTGTCAAAAAGCAAATATGCAAGACAGCAAGTCAAATGATATTTTCGATTGTCCGATCACGTCTACGACCAAATAGTATCAATTGATCTTATTACAAGCAAAAATAATTGCGAAATGCCACTTGGCACATTAACGAATAAGTGATCCAAGACACTACGATAAGATATCCAAATGAGTGGCCTATGAGAACAGGAAACACATATATCTAGACATTAAACAACAACTGAGTGGTCTTTGAGAACAGGAAACACATATATCTAGACATTAAACAACAACTGAGTGGTCTTTGAGAACAGGAAACACATATATCTAGATATGCAACAACAACTAGGTGGTCTATGAAAACACTTATGGAAATACTTATCTAAATATTCAACAACGGCTCATTGGCCTATGAGAACAAGAACACGTGTTATCTAGATATTGAGATATTCAACAAAGACGAAGTGGCCCATGAGTGCAGAAAACACATGTTGTCTAGATATTTAAAAACAACTGGGTGGTCTAAGACGGCAGCTTACACTGTACAAAAGACACACAAGTGAACAGCGCCTTTCGATACAAATTTTGAAATAGATACATAAGAACAAAATAGTGATATAAACTGCATCATACAGCTATTGTGTCTTCCATTTTCTGAAAAGCTAAATAAAACGAAAATAAGAAATGTCAAAGTCAAGACCTGGAGGTACAATTATCCCGATCATTATATAAAGTCACTACGTGAAGTTGGTGAAACGAAAGCGAGTTCACGTTTGTGATGGATGTTCTACGCATTATTTGTGCACAGATGTTTATACTTTTTTAACTTTCAAATGAAAATAGATATTATTCCTACGGAAAATGATGTTACAAGGAAATCTCTATTATATGTAGTAAGACCTAGCGAAGGTAGCATTGTATAACTAGACTATCATCAACAAGCAATAGTGGGCAGAAAAAAGTCCTTATAGTATATCTTTACAGAGAGAAAAGATATTAAATACTCAGGGACTACTTTGATATAAGTAGGCAATATGGTATATCAATTCTTCCGAACATATCATGCTATTCGTATAGATACCTAGCGAAGGCGAGTGCAGTATCAAACGCTTCAATAACGATAGTACATTACCGAAAGTAAAGCATTTCTGAGACGAGAGCTCCAGTCACCAGGTGGGAACACTCCAAGAGCTGGGCGGTTGATCAATGTAGCCTGTAAATAAAAGGCATCATGTATCAGTGCATGGTTTAAACCCTCAGGAACCATGTCAGCCCATGATTTAAACTCTCATGAATCATGTGTCAGCCCATGATTTAAACTCTCATGAATCATGTGTCAGCCCATGATTCAAACCTCCATGGACCATGTGTCAGCCCATGATTAAAACCCTCATGGTCATGTATAGGCATATATTTAAAACCTTTAGGGAACATGTGTCAGCCTATGTTTTATTCCTTCAATGTGTTAAACCTTCAGGGATCAGGTGTCACTACATATCTTAAACACTCGTGGATCAAGTGTCTATGAGCCTATGTCTTAAACTGAACCTATGACATGACTTTGTTATATGACTTTACCGATGACATGACGTTTTGAGGTGACTCCGATGACTTGCCTTGGTGAGGTGGCTAACAATGAAGTGACTTTGTGAGGTTACTTTCGATTACTTGACTTTGTGAGGTGGCTAAGACTGAAGTGAGTTTGTGAGGTGACTACCGATGACGTGACTTTGGTAGGTGGATAACAATGAAGTGACTTTGTGAGGTTACTATCGATTACTTGACTTTGTGAGGTGGCTAAGACTGAAGTGAGTTTGTGAGGTGACTAACAATGAAGTGACTTTGAAAGGTGACTATACCGATGATGTGACTTTGTGAGGTGACTAACAATAAAGTGAGCTTGTGAGGTGACTAACAAAGAAGTGACTCTGAAAGGTGACTCTACCGATGATGTGACTTTGTGAGGTGACTACCGATGACGTGACTTAGGTGACTAACAATGCAGTCACTTTGTGAGGTGACTACAGATGACGTGACTTCGGGAGGTGTCTAACAATGAAGTGACTTTGTGAGGTGACTAACCATAAAGTGACTTTGTGAGGTGACTAACAATGAAGTGACTTTGCAAGATGACTGACAATGAAGTGACTTTGTAAGGTGACTCTATTGATGATTTTCTTCCTTTTTCTCACCATTGCGAGTTGAATTTCTCAAAAATACTTAATGTGACAGTGTGTTGTAATTCTGACTCTGCAGAGCTGTGCCTTTTCAATAAAGAAGTAATAGCATTTAATGGATCGATCAGTTTATATTTCGTCATACTTGAAATGGCGTCCTTTCTTCTTCTGTGCTCACCTAAATGCATGGCTTCGTTCATGTCTGTAGAAGCAGATACGTATATTTTGATAGCTTTGAATAAGGGAAGAAAGCACGTTCTCTGATCTTTGCATCTAACCTGTTGTTTAAATAGGTTATGTTTTATTTTTCAGTAAAGTCAAAGCACGTGAACGACCACAAATAACTGCGAGTCGCTGTCGAAGTTGTCCCGGATGCTCGAAAAACCGACTTACTTGTCCCTGCTAAATCAAAAACAAGCCTGGTATTTAGCAAGCTCGTGCATTATAGAATATTACAGAGCCAATCGATATGTGTTATTTGCATAGACGACAGATGTTCTTGACAGCTCTTCGAAGTTATTGCCCCCAAAAGAGATCATTAGCCACTGCAAGGTTTTATGACATCAATTAAGTCACGAAGTCCAATGTATACATACCCTGTTTTCTTCCTTCAGCAGAGCCTTCACCAGTCTGGGGTGGTTGTACCCTGAAACATTAATGCTATTTACGTGTAACTCAGAAGTATCACTTATCCAGTACAACTGTCGATGTTGATCACAATAGGCTCATCATCATTAATGTTTAAGTATATTATGAATTATAATCTGGAGTTTTATTTAAGGCTGAGTGGCAATATCTTGTAATATTTATTTCACATACACTTCTATCATGCATTTTGACGTAATGTTAATGGAAAAATTAAGTTTCTGATTTTCAAGACATGAAATCAATGCGACGTGTTTCCATACTTAATTACTTTTTAGAGATTTGTCATGTTCACAGCTTACCCTGTTCTTGTCAGACACCGTACCAATCGGATTATTAATGTCTTCGCGTTCTCTTAATTAATTTCGAGTAACATTACAACTCTTTTTTGGTTATGCTGTTATTACAATAACTGTCTGACCTATGACCTAATTAAATCATTATCCGGTCAATGTGTACACATAATGAAATAATACTAAACCTTCTTAAAAGTACAAAATACAAAATGTACACAGTAAAGGTCATAATGGTAAACGTATTCACTGCATGTCGTTAGCTAGTGTTCCGTCATACGAGATTGCACAACAATGATCAGATCGTTGTAAAATCTTGTTTTTTAAATTGAAGTCACAGCTGTCTCGCCGCGATAAGTTACGGAAGTACATGTATGTGTATTATACATGTATATGTATACATAATGCACACCATCGTTTATGCTTTACAGCTTTATCGAGACATTCTTTCCATTACAGGAAAACATATGCATTGGTAAGTATGTATACAGTTTATCATGTCACAGTTCATTTTGTACATATTCAATATAAAATAACGGTCATGGATATTGACATACAGCAGCTACTTAGTGGGTTCCAAGATTTAATTTCGTACCGGAAGCAATACTTCAATGATGGTACGTTTGCTTTACAACCAACTTTTTCAGATATCAAGTAGACGATGAAAGGATAATAAATCTTCAGTCAACGCACGAAATGTTCAATCACAAGAATTAAAATATTCAATGTTATATATATATATATACACCTGAATCTGCTTTGAAACATAAATACGTCAACGTATCGAATGACAAAAACTGTGCCAATCATTACCTACCATCAGAACTTCCAACAACGTCAAAATCGATCAGGCAGTACGTAGGTTCACCACTTCAAAGGAGGAGTGCCAATTTGGGCCTTCTGGTGGCCATGAAGAATACTTTTTATTTTTGTCTATTAAAAACTTGAGGTCAGACGGTAATGACATGACATTAATCTAAGGTCAGTTCAAGGCCGTTCAGTTGTTAGAGGGGGGACAAGTGGGGGATCAAATTCATAATTATTGCAATAATTATCAAACTAAAACATTTGTTTTAGTTGTTTTCTCTTAAATGTCATTTGATGATATATTTTAAAACCTTCATTAGAAAAAATGACCAAAAAATATGCCATTGTTGAAAAGTAGGTCACGGTAATTAAGTGCCCTAATTACTAATTACGTCACACTTGAGCACTTTTTTTGTCTTAATGCATCTATAAACAATACGTTTATCACGTGCAGTGTATTTATTTGAAATATTTTTACAAATATGGATGATATTAAAATGGAAAAAATCAATTTAGCACCGGGTTTCACAGGTTCATAAATGACCTTTGTCTATTACTTACAGGATTGTATTTTGTTTACTGCTTTAGTAAGGGGAATGTTGGTGTTGGGATATTCATTTAGGAGTCACTGTCGCTGTTAACGCAACTTGAAACAATTATATGTGCTTGTTTTATTGGAAAGGCGGTCCACAGATTCAGATAAATAAATGTCCTTCCTACAGAAACAAACCAAACACAAATTCTTATGAAACTAAAGCAAACTATGAACGTTGGATATACACAGATTCCTGAAAGAGCACAGTAAGAATAAAACCAGGTGTTCTGGAAGAGTAAGCGTCCCCTTCTTCATCGGCGACACTAGTCATGTTAATTTTGTTCAGTCCAAGTAAGTAGTATCACACTCACAAGTTAAACAACAACGGAACGATATAGAATACTACTAAACATAGAACATTTCCAGCAACATATTGCATAAAGTACTGAACATTTCTCGATGTGGTAATTAAGATAATCGTGAAGCTTCCTTATAATCTTTATCAACACGTATCTCTCGAAACTCTGTGTTGTTAGTTTGTTAGGTGCCGATATCTGGTATGAAAATCAAAATACCTGGAACAAACCCTGGATTATTGAATCCTCTGTGACATGAAAACACAATAGGTTGTTGATGAAGATTTGTTGCCATCAAAAAATAGAAAGTTCACCGCAGAAATTGAAATCATCACGCTTGTCATATAGCTTGGCGGAAGCTGTCCTTGCTGATTAATTAAAAGTATTAAACGGGAAATTTAATAACACACTTTAACTTCCCGGAGACGATCTATGTTTATATACTAAAAGGATAAAGAAACGCAGGGTGAACTTTAAACCAGAAATTAAATATGATATCGGGCTTCATTTAAAACGAAATTTTGTATACTTACAGATAAATTGAAGCTTAAAAATTTCCAAAGTCTGTATTTTGCATCTTACAATTGGTTTAGAGGTACGTGAATGGACCCATAGGATTTTGAAATTGAAATTGAACTGAGTCATCAATATCTTGTGTGTCCGCCGTTTGCTGTGGTCACGGCCCTTATTCTTCTGGTCATAGAGTTCATGAGAGCGTTAATCCGTCTTATGGGGATGTTGTCCCACTCTTCAATCAGAGCTCTGGTCAACTGCTCTCGAGTAGCAGGGGGTGGCTGGCGCTTTCGAACCTGTCTATCCAACTGGTCCCAAAGATGCTCGATCGGGGACAAATCAGCCTAGCATTATCCTGCTGGAGGGTTAGATTATGCTGCTGTAAGAAAGGGATAACATGGGGTCGGAGGATCTCATCTCTATACTTAGCTGCTGTTAAATTGCCATCAATAACAACCAATTGTGATTTTAACCCGTGTGAGATTCCTGCCAACACCATTACTGAACCGCCCCCAAACCTATCCCTCTCTACAACGTAAGCGTCCGTAAAACGTTCGCCACGACGTCGGTAGACACGTTGACGGCCGTCAGATCGATAAAGACAGAATCGAGACTTGTCCGTGAAGAAAACTTGTCTCCACTGCCTCAGTGGAAACCGTCGTGGAGCATGTGCAGCGAACCAGGCCATACGACGCTGATGTCGAGAAGGGGTAAGGTGTTGACCTACGTAGGGGCGACGTGCTCTTACACCAACTTCTCATAATCGATTCCTTACAAATTTTGAACTTATAGGACGCCCATGATTTCCACGAACATTAATTGCACTCTCAACGGCAGTAAGGCGCCGATTACGCACATGAGAGACGACGATATAGCGATCCTGACGTCGTGACGTTACGTGCGGACGTCCTGACCTAGGTCGATCGGCCAATCGCCCAGTTTCCCGAAGACGTCTTACAAGACGTTCTATGGTGGAAACATTAACACCAAAGTACCTAGCAACCTGATTTTGTAGCTGTCCTTGCATCAGCATCTGAATGGCCTGACCCCTCTGAACTTCTGTGAGTCGTGCCATTCTTAAAACGAATCAAATTCTCAATTAATTTTAGGGAAGCAGTTGGTCTGTATAAAGTTAAAGTATAAATAACGAAGAGTGACTTGACCAACGCTGCATGAGACCAGAACAGCACGGTGCACGAGATTCTTGTTTTTTCATTCCTCCATTTACCAGAGCTGCGCACTGTACCGTGACTAAAATGTTCGATACATGACAAGGTGTAATATGACCTAATTACTCAATCCACAAAGTTTCACTTTATTTGGAGAACGCGTTTTCAAAATATCGGAATAAATATTACCCTGCGTTTCTTTATCCTTTCAGTATAGATAATATTTACAGTAGTTTCAAAGAAAAGGATCTTGGTTTATAGTTAATATTTATAGTAGTCGCAAAATAAAGGAATAATTATTTATAGGGATGGAGACGATAAGTGTCCACATCTCTTTCTAAAAAAGTTTACGCATGAAATAATGTTTACCTAGAGGAACGGAGGAAATTTGGGTGAACAAGTCCAGCATCACATTTCCGTCCACGTCAGCCAGGTAGTTTCCCCGACTCCTTTCATAATCAACGAAAAACTGCACTGCCCCGGTGTTCTAAAATACACAATGTCAGAAAAATAAATAATCGTTATCATTTAAATATCACACTTCTCCTGGAAACACATGTGTTCGTTTTTAGTTTATCATTTAAAAACATGGGGATACATTTTTTTCACGAAGAGTTTCATTACATTTCCGATCTCATCCCTACTTGCACGGTTTTGAAAACAAAGCCTAGCTGCCTTGACGGTCACCTGAGATAAGCAATATAAGGTAGCTTTCAAGTGTCGTGAAACAGAAATTGTGACACTGAATATAGTAAGCCAGTGTCACTACATGCATATCATCAAAACTGTTATCCTATACTAATACTTCTTACAAAGAGGGAAATAAACCAACTTTATTCTCCAAAATGCATTTTTCTATGAAATATAAAGTTAAGTTTTAAAAAAGGATTCTCCCCAAGGATGAAATGTGAGACCCATTTCGGTAATTAAAGCACATTAAGATATTTTCATTCATACAGAATATCTGATTCTGTCACACCTGTGTGTTGAGAAGAAGATTTTTGAAATTTAAGTCAGTTTGACTCCTTTTCGCCCTGCACATTAACCCCTGGGGGTCAGTCAGAACCAATATGGGCATACCATCAAGACGTCATCCTTCACTCATAATGCTAACCAGGTTTGAAATATTTCCAATTGAAATCAAACAAATTATGTTCAAAAATCGATTTTTCCTACATAAACTACAGTAAACTTTACCCCCTCCCCACGGGGAAATGCGAGACCCTGGGGCCATGAAATCCATTATTTTGGTGAAGCATCTTAAGATGCTTCCATTTGTTTGATTCTACCATATCTGGGTGTTGAGATTTTAAAATCCGGGTACATCTGACCACTTTTTGCCCCGCCCCACAGGCCCCTTTAGCGTGGAGATTGCATTATTCACAATTTTGTAACATCTAAGGCCAAGAAAGGTTTCTCCAAAATTTCATTGAAATCGGATCAGGAGTTTTTCAGAAGAAGTCGACAATGTTAACTGTTTACGATCGCACGACGTACGACACGCAATGCCGGATGACGGCTGGCCTGAATCTTTGCTTAGCACAAACGAAACAAGCTGGCTAGAAACTAGTTTACACTGGTTGGCTGCATAAACAAAGGAAAATTGGTCATTTTACATTTCGGAAAATGTTCCCGTGTCTGAGACCATCAATGGGGACAAAGTATTGATTGGAACTTCTAATTTATTCGAGTGTTCTTTGAGAATGAGTTAGGGTGCCAAGATTTCATACCACTATGAAGCATCAATAATAAGGAACTTCTCTGTCACTTTGAAACGCCTGATACTAAACCGGTACATCAATAAATTTAAACATTGACAACTTCAGTAACCGGAACTAAATTTTCATAACACCAACCTAGCCTAACCTATTATCAAAACCTTAAACAATATGTATTTTTACCATATTATGAAGCCAATCAAAGCCACATTAGAAGTCACATATACTAACTTGATAGATGCTGAAGGATTTTAGCTGTTTTTTAACGATGGTCATTAGAACCATTTATTTCTGGAAAGAAATGGGAGCTTTTAAACTAAGTACCTACAATAATCCATTTACTGATGTTCCAGAATTTGAAAGGATCCAAATCACAACAATGTCTCATTTGAACTCATGTTCAGATGTAAATACGAAAGTTGGCCCGAGTGCGGTTTCTGAATCAACTTAGCAATAGATTAGGTGTATACAATATCTCAGACAAAACAGAAAAATATCCTAGTTACATAACGGACAGGAAAACAGGATATCCTAGATCTATCTGAAGATAGATGATACACTGTTCCACCATACAAAATTAGTCACCCTCAGAACTATAAGTGGTTGTGAAGGTACAATATCCAATGCACCAGGTGAAAAGGTTGTTGTTACAGGATCATGAAATAGCCACTTTTCAATATTAAAGAGACTTAAGCGCATGAAATATTACACGCATCTCTTTTGATTTACCAACACACCATTATGCAAAAATAAAATATGGAGAATTTGGAGTACATATAGACAAAACAAAAACAAAAAAAGAAAAAAACCAAAAAACAAAAAACAAAAAAAAAAAAAAAAAAAACGTTTTAAACGGAGACCCCTCTCTTACCAGTAAAAGCACAAGGAGAATATTGCCATTTGTTTTGGAACGGTAAGCGTTTCTGCATCAGCAACAACACCCACCATGTAAATCTTGGTCAATTATAGTAAAGCCAAAAGGTAAACACCGGCGGAACACCAGGCATGCACATGCATCAAACACGTCCAGCTGCATATCGCACAAGGAGAAACGATATTTCACAACGTGATTATAACGCCGACTACAGACATTTCCCGGAAATACGAATATATCAACACACTCATAGTCCAAACTCAATTTCAATTAAATTAGTACAAAATGTGAGCAAAAGAAATATTTACATGGAGACTTCTGAAAATGTACCAGGAGAATATAACCAGGTGTTCCGGAAGAGTAAACGTCTTCTGCTTCATCGACGACACCTTGGTCAACCGAAATTAGTTATATCACGTACTCAAATGAAGACAAGGTATACAACAACGGAACCAACAGGCAAAACTGTCGAGCATCAAGCACGTCCAGCTTCATATCACATAAATAAATAAGTTTAAAATCTTCCATGGAAATCCTGATATTTTAATTACGCCCGTGCGAACCATAAGTTGGGATAGCATTTCACGATAAGGAAACTGAAATCAGCACACTTACACAACTTTGTGGAAAGCTATCCCTTACTGTTTCATTGTAGAAAAAGATGGTGGTGGCTTGTGTGGACGAGGGTATCGTGTCAATGATTTCCCACTCTGATAGGTATATGCGACGGGCATGGTCAATAAAGTTAATGTTACTTTTTAACAAAACATCATCAGTATATCTGAAAATAAAATACAGTGTAGAAGGGCTTGGCAAATACTTTGTGACCTATTTTGATATTCTTTTCAATGCATTCAGCCTAGTACGAACGGGAAGTCGGCCATGAGAGTTTGTCTCATCGTTATGTCAATAGTCTATTGAAAGATCTTACCACTACGGCGAATATGTTGTAAGACAGAAATTCGATCATTTTTGCGATTTTGCCCTCTTTCATGTACTTGACCTGCCATTCACCTTGCTTTGAAAAGTTGAAAACTCTTAAAACAAGAAAACAAGGACGTACCTTTAAATTGGAATAGGACTTGGTAGTATACAACTAGATAATTATCATAACTAATGACAACAACACCCTAGAGGCCATGTGTCGGGAGGGAAGAGGTCACGAATAAGATAGCATGCCAACATTAAAGTAAACGCGAATTTGCTGGCAAATCTAAAAAGGCGACGCCATCAATAAGTAAAACCTTATATAATACCAAAATGAAATTTCTGTATGACATATTGTAGACCATACTGTGTTCATTCGGGATGATATTTTATCAAGGTTTCAGGACTACTGTCCCGAAATATTTACTTGCAGATGGTATCGTCAACAATGTCAAAGATGATGAATGACCCTTCCATCTAGTAAGATGTAATGTCTTTCTTCACCTTCTGTGTTTAGTTAGTTGATATCGGGTTAGATATGGAAAGACAAGATAGTGTTTACCATCTACAACCATATAAACAGACAATCGGAAACTACCTTAAGGATATTGAAAGGAACGTTTAACTCGGGGAACAGCAAAACTTTCAGAGTAGCAAAATATATCCTAAATTGGGACAATTCCAAAGTAAACAAAGGAAAATTGTATATTTAGGAGGCCGGTGATCAGATGAGTTATCTGTGTGTTTATTTCTAGGCTTCCTGTTTTATCTTCTTCCCCTCTGTACATCATTACTCCTTAACTGATTATTGCATAGTAACACGATATCCTTTTGTAGACTACTCGTATACCGTCACTCTAATGTCAAGAATAAACTATCTCCAGCCAAGGAAGTTCACAGAAGATGTGTTGGGTTGACAATGATAGCTTGTAGTAGTACATGTTTACTACAGATCACTAGCTCTATGCTGAGTATGACATGTTGACAACCTACCTGAATGGTACCAAGCTCCGTAAGTAGCTCTTGGGACCTAGGTCCTGGGATCGCTGTGTGGACAACTGGTGCGTCAGGTTCCAAGGGGTCCGATTTCATTACCGCTTTAGACGCTGACGGGGTTCCGTATGTCCTCAAACCTAACAGATAGTGATGTTTAATAATCGGCTGTCATTTGCACCTCAAAATATTAAACTCAAGATCAATGAAACGATTAAACAAATCTACAAGGTAAACAATACCAAGTGTCTCGGAAGAAGGAGCGTGTTCTGCCTACTTCTATAGATTAATTTACAAGGCAGTAGTTTTGAAAATGCAGACAAAGGATCATTTGTTCCTATCCAGACAACTAAACTTTTAATGCATATCGCGTTAACAGCGTGTTTGAAATGACGGAAAAGGTTCGGTACAAAGCAGTGAGCAGCAGTTCCTAGACAAATATCTTTGATTTTGTATTCTTCTGAACAGATTGATAGAATATTCAAAAACAACCTTACGATAACATAATGATATATGCATTGCCTAAGAGAAACAGAAAACACTCCAGGAGTTTAGGAACGTGCGTTGAGTTTGATACAACCATGCAGTTCCATTCAAAGTTTAATGATTGTGTCTTGATAGCTTAACTCTATTGTGTAATGACCAGTTATTTATAAACTGAACTGTAACATTAACCTATCCAGATCTTATCTTAAAGGTTCTGTTGTAAGCAGGTTTCAGGATTATCCGGTTGCTGGGTTTGATCAGGTTAGCGATTTGGCAATATACGGTCGAAGAATAATGACTTATTGTGTTAATGTAAACTTAGTGATGTCAGTAAAATACTACTTACCTTAATTTTATATTTTGAAACACAACATGATGTCATTTGTCGTGTAATGTTTTACATGAGAAAATGATTTACAACAATGTAATGAAGACATTCATAATGATATTTGCTCTTTAGAACATTTAGTGCCAACAATATGTCGTAGAAAACTGTTTTACTGTAAACGACGTATCGATTGTAACCTATAATAAAGCTAAACCCCTTGCTGTAGTTCAGGACAAAGTACTGTATTTTTTAACTCAATGCACTACTTTGTGACTTGTATATCAACAGATATACAGACGATATAGCAATGACACTTTAACATCCTCCAACCGATGCACCAGGAAACAAAGGGACACGACAATACAGTACATCATCTAAGCTTGCCGTAGCACTGTAGGCGGCCGCTTCACCTCTCTTAGAATACCCCTTCAGCACATGCAGCTCCCGCTTCTGAGGCTACATATTATCGAAAAGCATCGAAGTTTAATGGGGTCAGGCATAAGAAAGCTTTAGGGACATCTTTATTGATTCATCGCGTCTGTGCGATGTCCGAGTTGATACGTGACTAAGGTGTTTAATACATATCGGGCAATGGTTAGCAATGAACTACATTTGAAGGTTTTCACTGATAACACGGCGCCTGAACCTATCCATCTTTTTATCTCGAAGGTAAGTTTCGATCAAGTTGAAGGGTAGGCGAAATGATAAGTTATACTTGAAAACACACCGGGTAAAACTACTGTTTCCCATTCAAAATGCAGTAAACTAAACATAATCTACATTTCTGTCTCAATGCTTGAACGAACAACAGGGAAAGAAACGTTAAAAAGAGTGTAGTTTTATTATCAAAAACGCTTCGTGCACATTCGATGTAGCAATAACATTAGTGAGATACAATAAAGTCACGTAATATCTCGAGTATATGGAGTTTTGTTTACAATTGTGTATAGTTGAGAGTACTAGAGAGACGGATGTGTAGCGGGCTCCTTGTACACGATTATAACAGTATTCCATAGCAGTATATTGAACGTCTGCTACACACAGGAGCTTCACAGACGCTACAACAAGTAAAGCATTGAATCAATTGACTTACCCCTCGAAATGATGGACACACATGATTTTGTAGACCACAATAATGCTGCCATGACTGATTCGACACTACGGTTGGATCTAGCCGGATTCTGCAAGTATTTATCAACTGTCGCGGCCTGCTACGCAGGCGCAGTGAAACTAAATGACAAACAGTGATAAGCTGCTAATAGACGTACTTATTGTGTACACTCTAGCGGTTTGATCATGCTTTCAAAACACTAGTTACATCCACGAATATGAAGTGTTTTATATGGACAGTAGGGACATTCAGAGGTTGCGAAAAATGACCTAGATTGATATATAATACCATGAATGCTTTGCTACTTGCTTGTTCACAACATGCTCGAGGTCAACACACTGAAAAGTCGGTCGACAGTTAATGGATACTGTACTTACCCGAATAACCTTGTGAGACGTACGTGGCAGGTAAAATGAAGTCAATGACATACATTATAGCAGCATAGGAAACATCGATATAAAAAGTGTTATCAAGAGCGACATTCCTGCGCTTTAACAGATAGAGCAAAGCATCTGCTGTAGATATAAAAATTCACATGCTGTTTTACCATACCTACAGCTGTCCTGTTCCACACCAATGTACTAGTTTACAACAAAATTTAATAAGAAATTTTATAAATCAAATCAATTAAAAATTTAGAAGTGTTCGCACAATACACATGCTCAAGTTGTATATGTTTTTATTAGAAAACCGACATACACAAAGAGATGTATAAAACAACCCGTGTTTAAAATATCTAAGCTTTGATAGAAATATTTTTTAAATTTTCCTGTTGGTATGAAAAAAAAACTTTTTCAAACTGAATTAATAAGCATAGAGAAATAAGAAAAACAACAACTAACGAGAAAGATCTATTTTGGGTACAAACAACGAAGTATCAATTATTGTACAATAGACACACATCAATTAATAGCACCATTCAATACAATTATAGAATTAGACACAGTAGAGTTGAATAACACATTAAACTGATTAAAAAAAGTTTCGTCCCTCTTGGTCAGGACATTTGTACTAACGGCCTAAATCTTGAAACCTACATGGCGACGGGAGAAAATCAAAATTATCGAAAGACTGTCAAACTCTAGATGGGGAGATGCAGTAGCTCAATAAATTCTTTTTCAAATTCGCTATTGTTGAAAATAAATGTGAGTAAATCTCATATTGCAACAACTTTTCGGGTTAATAGTATAAGCCACAGCAAAACCTATTCTTTTATGCGGTGAAACACACATTTTACGATGTTTCCCTATTTTTTGTTTCTAACTTCGACACTGGTTGACTAGGTTTTAATGGTATCTAATTTAGTTTACAAAGAGAGAATTATCGAGACATGTTTTCTTCCTTGCAGTCGTTAACTACAAAACAATCGTAAAAAGTACCCTATATCAGGTGACAGAATAGGTTTTTCTTTTGTCTAATCCATTATATATAGTTTTCATAGGATTTTAAATTACATTTCTTTTTAAAAACACCGAATTACGTGGTCCGTCTCCATTATCTACCGCTAGTCAGTGAAAATAAGATACTGCTTTCTTTCAAAATGTGTATGCATTGTCACGATACAAAAGATAAATATAATGTATAGTGTATTCAATAATAGGATTAAGATCACCGTAAGGTTGAACTTTTCATATTATTTTTAGAATTGGTCACGTTTTCCTTTGTCGATATATGCAATTTAGAAACATGTCCTGTTAGCTAAACTTTAAATATTATGTAAAGTAACGAGTTAAAGGTATTTCAGCACTACCTGTACAGCATACATATATATTTAGGGTGGGTATCTACGATGGCCCATCTACGCCCCGTCAATATAGATTTAAGCAGCATTTTTGCCTCAGCATTCCTGCAAAATACGTCGTCAGTAACTACCTGAAAGCAGTTTCGTTTTGTTGAATAGGCTGGAGAATGCTTGTTAGTCAATATCTAGTTTGCGAATAACGCCAGGGACTTTTAATTTTACTTTGCTCTCGAGAATTATTGAGGGAAATCTAACACAAAATGTGTATATTGACAAGGCATATGTGGGCCTTAGTAGAGTGTAATTTTCTTTACAATGCCATCTTCCTGTTCACTGTGTCATTTTACACTGAATTGATCAGTTAATAGTTGTTTTCGTTGTATCTGTGTACAGACTTACAAAGTAAGAAGGTTTCTGAAGTGATATAATCCATGATTTAATACATATGTATATGCCACATTGATGTGTGACCTATTTGTTGGTGAAATCCATCGATTCAAAGGCACTAATATATATTATCATACAGCATCTAATCCGAAGCCTTCCCATTGTTTTCACCACGATCTCAAACACGAGGTGTGAAGTTCGACGCTCTCTATCCATCACGATTTGTGTTTCTCAAGAAATTGAGAATCTGGTAGGTGTGTCCTCTTGTGATTCTGTCCGTGGACAAGACACTTTGTCTCTTGTATATTGTTAAGTGAGAGAGCCACTAGCCACTGCAAAGAAACCCACCTCAAAATAACCCTATTGTCTAAGCGATTCCATCAGTATTCCGTTAGCGCCAATCGCAGCTTTGTATCTACGGTTCCAACCAGTATTCAGTACATGGCAGGTCACAGCTTTGTATCTACTATTCCCAACAGTATTCAGTAGAGGCCAGGTCACAGCTTTGTATCTACAGTTTCCATCAGTATTCCGTTAGCGCCAATCGCAGCTTTGTATCTACTATTCCCAACAGTATTCAGTACATGGTAGGTCACAGCTTTGTACCTACGGTTTCCAACAGTATTCAGTACATGCCAGGTCACAGCTTTGTATATACGGTTTCCAACAGTATTCAGTACACACCAGGTCACAGCTTTGTATATACGGTTTCCAACAGTATTCAGTAAACACCAGGTCACAGTTTTGTATCTACGGTTTCCAACAGTATTCAGTACACGCCAGGTCACAGTTTTGTATCTACGGTTTCCAACAGTATTCAGCACATGACAGGTCACAGCTTTGTATATACGGTTTCCAACAGTATTCAGTACACACCAGGTCACAGCTTTGTATATACGGTTTCCAACAGTATTCAGTACACACCAGGTCACAGCTTTGTATATACGGTTTCCAACAGTATTCAGTACACACCAGGTCACAGCTTTGTATATACGGTTTCCAACAGTATTCAGTACACACCAGGTCACAGCTTTGTATATACGGTTTCCAACAGTATTCAGTAAACACCAGGTCACAGTTTTGTATCTCCGGTTTCCAACAGTATTCAGTACATGAAAGGTCACAGCTTTGTATCTACTGTTTCCAACAGTATTCAGTAAAGGCCAGGTCAAAGCTTTGTATTTTCGGTTTCCAACAGTATTCAGTAGAGGCCAGGTCACAGCTTTGTATCTACAGTTTCCAACAGTATTCAGTACACGCCAGGTCACAGCATTGTATCTACGGTTTCCAAGAGTATTCAGTACATGGCAGGTCACAGCATTGTATCTACGGTTTCCAACATTATTTAAACGCCAGGTCAAAGCTTTGTATCTACGATTTCCAACAGTATTCAGTAGAGGTCAGGTCACAGCATTGTATCTACAGTTTCCAACAGTATTCAGTAGAGGCCAGGTCACAGCTTTGTATCTACGGTTTCCAACAGTATTCAGCAAACACCGGGTCACAGCTTTGTTCTACAGTTTCCAACAGTATTCAGTAGAGGCCAGGTCACAGCTTTGTATCAACGGTTTCCAACAGTATTCAGTAGAGGCCAGGTCACAGCATTGTATCTACGGTTTACAACAGTATTCAGTACACGCCAGGTCAAAGCTTTGTATTTTCGGTTTCCAACAGTATTCAGTAGAGGCCAGGTCACAGCTTTGTATCTACAGTTTCCAACAGTATTCAGTACACGCCAGGTCACAGCATTGTATCTACGGTTTCCAAGAGTATTCAGTACATGGCAGGTCACAGCATTGTATCTACGGTTTCCAACATTATTTAAACGCCAGGTCAAAGCTTTGTATCTACGATTTCCAACAGTATTCAGTAGAGGTCAGGTCACAGCATTGTATCTACAGTTTCCAACAGTATTCAGTAGAGGCCAGGTCACAGCTTTGTATCTACGGTTTCCAACAGTATTCAGCAAACACCGGGTCACAGCTTTGTATCTACAGTTTCCAACAGTATTCAGTAGAGGCCAGGTCACAGCTTTGTATCAACGGTTTCCAACAGTATTCAGTAGAGGCCAGGTCACAGCATTGTATCTACGGTTTACAACAGTATTCAGTACACGCCAGGTCAAAGCTTTGTATCTACGGTTTCCAACAGTATTCAGTACATGGCAGGTCACAGCTTTGTATCTACGGTTTCCAACATTATTTAAACGCCAGGTCAAAGCTTTGTATCTACGGTTTCCAACAGTATTCAGTACACGCCAGGTCAAAGCTTTGTATCTCCGGTTTCCAATAGTATTCAGTAAATACCAGGTCACAGTTTTGTATCTACGGTTTCCAACAGTATTCAGCACATGACAGGTCACAGCTTTGTATCTACGGTTTCCAACAGTATTCAGTAGAGGCCAGGTCACAGCTCTGTATCTACGGTTTTCAACAGTATTCAGTAGAAGCCAGGTCAAAGCTTTGTATCTACGGTTTCCAACATACACGCCAGGTCAGTATTCAGTACATGGCAGGTCACAGCTTTATCTACTGTATCTACTGTTTACAAGTATTCATTACATGGCAGGTCACAGCTTTAGATCTACTGTTCCCACAAGTATTCATTACATGGCAAGCCACAGCTTTAGATCTACTGTTCCCACCATGGAGAATTCATTACATGGCAGGTACAGCTTTAGATCTACTGTTCATTTCATTACATGGCAGGTCACAGCTTTGGTTCCCACCATGAGAATTCATTACATGGCCACAGCTTTAGATCTACTGTTCCCACCATGGAGAATTCAATGCATGCCAGGTAACAGCTTTAGCTCCACTGTTCCCACCATGGAGAATTCATTACATGGCAAGCCACAGCTTTAGATCTACTGTTCCCACCATGGAGAATTCATTACATGGCAGGCCACAGCTTTAGATCTACTGTTCCCACCATGGAGAATTCATTACATGGCAGGCCACAGCTTTAGATC